CGAGCACTTTGATAATTTTACAAAATTACAGACGAGTTCTTTGACAAAACGTTTCGCTGGACAGGTGCAATTCCCTGGGTGAAACTCGTTGGGATTTTTAAACACCGTTGCTCGGTTACGAGCACGCTGAACGAGTTTCACGATGGGCTGAATAATGCAATGCGAATTAAACATTCCGCCATGCTCGGGCAATTCCTCTTTCGTTTGCAAAGCGAAGATAATGGTAATTCATATTACAATTACGCTATGCTTGCAACGCGGTCACTCGTGTATCTTTTTCTTTTATCGATTTCGAATTCCTCGCGCTGTCAGCGCCAATTTTGACGAGGAACTCGATACGATACCTGTTACGATATTAGAAGTGTTCACCGAGTTTAACAAAAACTAATATACGTGTAGTAACATCGATTCGTAATAGCATTACGTCGCAACTAGACCACGAATGTCTACGAGATACGAGCAAAAATATTGAAAAACTTCTGAAAACACAATATTCACTGAGAGATGACATTGGAAAAATTCTAAGCAAAATTAATTACGATATTGTAATCAGACTTCGAATGTTTAAGCATTTAGAGGAAATTTAAACTAACACTAGAACTACCGACGATTAAGGCATAAAATTTTCCATCAAAGACATTAAAGTAAAAGAAACAGGAAACCTTTATAATGCGATATGGTATACAAGCTTTTACTTATGCATTGATAAAGAAGACTTTATTATCTATTAATAATAAAGAAGAATCATTTAAGTCTCTAAAAATACACTTTTATGCTGTTTTATATCTATAAAATATTGAACAAAAATTATCATATGGTCATTTTGACGAATCCGGTAGTTCTAGTAAAAATATTGAGCCGATGGGAAATTGCCTGCTATTATACCAACGCAGTAAACGAACGTTATGCCGCGAAAGAGTTTCCAAAAATTGAATTAATCAACTTAATCAACTTAAAGCTGCCGGAGTTTCAGCTTCCTTTTTTTATCAAGTTAATTACCACTCCCGACGGGCTGTGCCGGCTGTTAAAAAAAAATATAACCACGAAATTAACAAATTAGCGAACAGCTGGCGCTATAAACGGCCGGCCAGCGGTAACTCACGCAATCCGTTAGAAATTTTCTCAAAGGCGGGTGTCATACAGACACACGACCACGTTCGTGACCGTGACTGAAAGATCTTGCCTGGCTCGGCCTTGACACGAACACGGTCGATGAAGGAAAGGTAAAAAAGGGGGTTGCTTTCTCTCACCCCAATGCTTCTCCACGCGTGTAAACAGCAACACCCTCTCCTTTAATTTTTAACCACCGACCAAAGTAAAGCTGCGCGTTTTCTTTCGTCCAACACGTATACACGCCCTTCCAAAAGTATTGGGACACTTGCAGAAAAATGAAATAAATTTGGAAAACTATTAGGAAATTGTTCTAATTTCTTAAATCTATTTCAATGTTAGTTATATCAAGTTGGGAGAGGTATATACAGTTTACATTATTGTAATAATAACATTAATTTTGCACAAGAAAGTTAAATTTTCTTTTCGTCGATACATCCACCGCACTTTTTAATTATTTGTTCGACTAATTTCGGCGTTTTGTTAGTTTTTCTATTGTTTCTGGTACTATTCGGCTCCTTGCATTTTGTAGTTTGTTCCATAAGTGATTTTGGGACTTTGGACATACTTCACGGATTTTTCGATCTAATTCATCTCAAATGTTCTCTATTGGGTTCAGATCGTGGGATTAAAAGGGCCAATGCGTTATTTTTTACTCATCACTCTGTTCTAAATGTTGCAAATGGTCTTTACAAACCCTTGCAGCGTGCTTGAGATCGTTGTCACGCATGAAAATAAAATTTTGGCCCATTAATCGCCTCCCAGATGGTATGGCATGGTCACGTAAAATAGACAAATATTGTTCCTTTTTCAGAATCTCTTCGATTTTTCTTAAATCACCAACACTATTTGTCACAAACCATTATCGACCGCCCTTCGTGTTTAACTGTGGATACGATACAGTCAGCAATCATTTTTTCTTCAAGTCTTCTAAAAACATAAGCTTGCAACCGAACACCTCAAATTTAGATTCGTCGGTCCATAAAATATTTTTCCACTCTTCACAACTGACCAATTTCGACATTTTCTAGCCCACTGTAGTCTTTCTACTTTATTTTGTCATCTGAGTAATGATTTTTTTATAGCTACGCATCCACGAAGACCAACCTTATGCACAGCAGGTGTCCTAATACTTTTAGAGGTAAGTATGTATATTTATTCGACCGTGATAATATTTCTTTTGTTTTATCATTGCTTTGTTATTGACGAGTTTGCCTTATTGATGAAATTCTCACAGTTAATGTCGTTGCAACTCGATTACAAATTTTATCGCGAATGCGACGAGAGAGAAAGAGAGAGAGAGAGAGAGAGAGAGTTTATCATGAGAGAAAGATTGACGCAAAGTGGAAATGTTAAGGGTTGCCTGACGTAAATTAATGAAAACCTTTGCCCTCGAAAACGAGATAGTTGCCGACTGGTCTCGATTTGAAAATTGGTTGCTCCGCTCGAGATATCACCGTAATTGAAATTTGCTTCTCACGCGTAACCGTAATTTCTGTAATGAGCGAAGATATTTCTTCTGTAATTTTCTCTCGGGAGAAAACGAATGAATAATTCGTTCGTTAACAATTTGCGATTCTTAAGGTCTAATTTAAAGAATGTTATCGTAAGTTGATTAAAGTACATAAACAGTGCAACGTATATACATTCTTCTTTCTAAAAATATTTGAAAACACGCGACGAGAATTTCCCGCAGAGAAAATTAATTAAAAGTGTCGTTTGCATCTCTACGTCAACGGCTGAAAGATTTTGAAAAGGAACAGGCGAAGCATCGACGAGGCTACGTCGCTCGTTTGTCGACGAAAGTAGGGGAACGGTCTCATTATGCCGCGACGAACTAGCATCCCTTTCATTCGAAATCCATGCAAATCCGGCCCGAGGATTCGTGGAGAACCAAGGAGAACGATCGAACGATGTCGTTATCGACGACACTTCCTCGTTTCACAGTAATTTTTACGCAACTTCAGCCAACTTGTATTTGCACCCTGGGGGGTCGAGACCCTGGAAATTCACCCTCTGTTCGTGTGCTATCATTGGAAAACGGATGACTCTCTCGATACGAAGTACCGAGACGAAGGGAGAAATTCTAAGAGCTTTCTCGCTTCGATTATATTCTTCATTTCTCGAGCAATATTTCGAAAGGCGTGAAATACGAGCCGGGGAGGATTTTAGTATTCGACGAGATGGAATGTGAATTTGTATTCTTCGAAAGTCTGGAATTTTACTGAATGGCATGTTTGAATAAATTTGAAAATTCGAATTTTAGCGCCTGTTCTTTCGAAATATGGAATTTTGAAGGATTACAGAGGAGAATTATTTAATTATTCTCTGAAAAATTGATTGAGTTTGAAAAATCGTTAATTGTTTGTTGCTTGAAAATTTTCCATTAAAAAGAAGAATATAATCCAATCCCTTTAATTAATATCCTCGAAAAAAAGTTCGACAAACGAACATTTAGGGGACAACTTTTCAGACTTGGTCGGGAGACGTCTCATGGTTCAACGAAAGATAACTCTCGGATAATGAGATTACAATCAAGGGTAGAAAACGAGCAAGTATGTACCAGGTAAACTGAAACAAACTTCTGAACTTTGTCCGTGAACTCGAGGAAGTTGTTTCACGCACAAGACAGCTCGTGCTAAATAATTCACAAATAATTCAAAGAGCTTTAATCTCCTAACCACTTCATAATTTATCTCACTATTTGGATAAAAAGAAATGGAAACTACGCAAGCTGAATTAGAGTGTCCTGTCGACAAGTTTTAAATAAAATTTAGCAAATTTACGACGTCGAAATTTTTGATATTGTAATAAAATGTTATAACAACTTGTAAAACTTTTGAAATATATAATATCAAGCCTAAAGAACACTGAAATTCTCAATCTAGCTCACCAGTTTTCACGTATGTGAAGAAAATACTACGATCCTTTTTCCTCTCTGTCCAAAAACGAGGAAATGTAATGAAATCAATTTTCTCCAAAAAATTTTCCACTCCACTCCACTCCACTTTTATTCACATCTATCTCAACTATAAAAGAAATAAGATTATAAAATTTCCGATATACAAAAATAGAGTAAAATCCTCGAAAAAAATTCCCACTCTGCTACATCCTAACTATAAAAAAAGAAAAAGCGAAATTGTATAACACCATTCTCACTTTTCTATAGCTCTATTCACACACATTTCAACTACAAAACGACCCCAGCAACAATAACGGTGTATCGTTGTAGAATAAATCCTATAAAATTCCCGAAAAAAATTCTTATACACTTACGTTCTTATACACATGCATCTCAATTACAAAAGAATCTCAATACAAACGAGTACCTATCTCTCAGGTAAATTATTCTATCTGAACTATTAAAATTACCTTAGCAGTAGTAAAATATCAAACAAACCTTAGTTTTCAAAAAATTTCTCTTATATCAATAACAAAGAAGAAAACAATACAAATACGACATAAATCTCAGCTCGATCGTAAAAATTTTTATTCAACCTACCCCTGTCCACACGCGCGTCACAATTGCAAGAAATATAATATCAAAGTGCGACAAAATTCTGAAAATTAAAAAAAAAACATGAAGAAAATATTCTAAAACATTCCAAAACTAGCAAAAAGTCGACACACTTTCCACCCTTGTGCAAAATTGTAAAAGAAACGCGAAAAATGTCGAAAATTCTGGCTGAAAATTCTGAAAGTGAAAAGAAAAAAAAAAAAAAGAGAGAAATATGTTAAAACCAGTGAAAGGTCAAAAAAACGTTCTCCACCCCTATGTACCTGAACACCGTCCCAAAAAAACAGCGCTCGCCCGTCAGAATTCGTTCAACCCTTGGCAAGAGAAAGAGCTAAGAGAAACCACGGACGAACGTGGAACGTAGGTCACCCACCTGCATGCTTCCGAGGGCGGGCTCATGGCCAAGGGTTTCGGCACGATCGTCCGCGTCGTGCCTGCTATCGACGTCCAGGATATCAGCTCCTCGGTCGGTCTCCTCGGGGTTCGAACAGCGACTGGTTCCGCTCGTCAGGATAGCAGAGACAGCAGCGTGCTCAGGGGGAGGGGGTTGCCTCGGTCCGGTGGCTCGGCGCCGGTGGGGATGAACGGTCGTGTTTCGCCGTGCTTCGGGGCGAGAAAGAGCGAGCGAAGTATATATATATATATATATATATATAGAGAGAGAGAGAGAGAGAGAGAGAGAGAAAGATCCAGTATCGCTCAAATTCTCTGACAAGAGTTTGATTTACTACTGATGCTAGCATGACGAGACTGATCGTTACGCTCGATTCGACCAGCTTGTTGCTGGATGAATTACCAGTTAGCGAGTGGCTAATGGGGGACGGAAAGTGGGGTGAGATACGGGTTGATAGAATGGTGGAACGAACAGGCTCCCACTGGGGGAGGGAATGAGTGGATCCTTTAGAATTTATTATTTTCCATCCGGCGCGATCTCTTCGGGAAATTGAGATATCGGGGTCGCTCGACAGGGAGTCGACGCGAACTTTCGTTGGGGGTGGAAGCGTTGGTACGCGCACCCGGAGTGATTAATCGACTGCGGATGTTTATGCATTCGGGAAATTTAATGCGTGGCAAAATGTTCAAGATATACAAAATAGAGTTGTTGGTATATATTGATAAACGGAATGATTCTGCAAAACACTTTGTGTTTCGTGAAAATATGGAATCATATAAATATTTAACTTGTCCTTCCTTACGCGAGGAAAATTTTCTGCGCTTTATAATAAAATTCATCGGACTAGCACAAAGAAAAAAATTAAATTTCTTTTCAACTGTTGCACACTTAATAGAAATTTTCTGATTCTCGATACGTTTAAAAAAAAAAAAGAACTTTTATTAAATAGTACTGCCTTCAACACAGAAAATTGACGGAGAAAGATACTAAATTTCGTTACCGAAGACCTTTTTAATTTCTATATTAATATCAACGAAGGATGAAACGATCGTTTGTTAATTCTTAGAAAATTGCTTAAACGTCGAGAAGAAGACAACAAAGCAGCTGGAGGAGGCAATTTGCCAGTCGAAGACGGAAGCACACGAAACAGGAGGTCGATTCATCGAGAGAACAGAGAACTGGTGGAATTCGGATTGCCGGCGGACTGGAAACGCGCGGAGTTCCTCGAGTACTTCGGACTCGTCTTTCGCGATAACGACGGCTCGGAAGAAGATCCGAAGAGGAAGTTGGTATCCGCCTGCAGAAACTTCCAAGAAACAAAACTTACGTGCTCAGTTTCCCCTCCCATATTAATTAAGGAATTCTCAGGAAGCTGGGGAACCGAGAAAGTTGAAATTATAAAATTAGATACAAAAGGCGAAGAAAGAACATGAGGCGAACGGATAAGAAGAAAGTTTAATAAAAGCTTGAAATCACGAGCTAAACTCGTGACTCTTCTCGAGGGGAGGAAGCGTGGGTACGTGACACACACAAAAGAACTCGAATCGATAGAACAGTCGAGTGTTCGGCAACGACACGAAATATCAAACGGAAGCTCCTTTAAAATCCAGCGAACGATGAAGCAATCGAAAGAACAAAACCCAAAAAACAAGGTCACAAAGCGGGAAACCACAAAAGGAGAAATGGAGTCCGCACAAGCCAGAATATATCTATCAAACGATTCATCCTATAGAAGGTTCCCGGCATTCGACGAAGCGTCGAAAATCAGCTTCCGACAGAATCGAGAATACACAGAATAAAGTCTGAGAATCGAGAGAATGTAACCCTGGCCGATCGGATATCGAGAATAATATCGAAATAAAATCCACGAGAAACGATGAGACAAACAGGTGTTGGGAAATCGTATTACGTACCGGAAGGAGGTAGAACGCGACACGGAAGAGAGTGGCGAACGAGAGTGGAGGACTGGTTCGAGGGAAAACGTGACGAGGATAGAGAATGGAAAATCCGATTTTCGCGAAGATTGTTGGAAGAGAAGATGGGGACGAGAAATGCAGAACAGTCGTGGAAGAAGCTGAACAGAGAGAAAAGAAGCAGCGACGGAAGAGGGCGAGAGGACGTGACGCCGGCGCGAGAGGAACTCCGTAGGTCAAGGTCGTCGCAGGTGGCGTCGAGCCCCGTGGTACGGCCCTGAAGCCCCACTCGACCGCCAGAAAGCTTCGTGCAGGACGATCTTCACCTCTCTCGAGATCGATATGGCCAGCCCACGTTCAGGCCACGCCGCGTGTGCAGGTAAAAACTGGCCGTTTTTCTTTTTGGCGAATGCCTCTCAAGTCGGTCGATCCTGGTTCGACTCTGTCCAGCCGGTAATTAAGGGTGGATAGATTAATGAATCCAGAAATAATTAATTTCGCAAATTCAGGAAACTTTACGTTATGATTATTCTTAGCTACCAGACCGAAGCAAATCCGACAAAAGTCACGAGGTAATTTCAAGTTTTTTACTTTTATAATTAGTAAAAATGGTTACTGGTTTTTGGCAAAATTAATCGTTACTCTTTATCGAAGTATGAATACTATTGTATTTTTTTTATTCATTTTCATTGTAGAATGTGAAATTAATTTTAGACGTTTTCACGTGATCAGACTTTTTCCTAACCGTCCATTTTCTACGTATTAGGACTACCCATGTTTGGCACGAGATTAGGGTCGATGTGTTTGATTTGGTGTGGATTAGTGTGATCCTTGCTTTAGGGTGGTTCTGATGTAATAATTTTAGTAATATCTGAAAATGATGTGAACCTTGATATATGTATAACTAATTCTGTTTAGATTGGATGTGGAACGATTTGACGGATTTGGATCAATCAAACAAAGACAGGTCAGAGGAGTATTTAGATAGCTTAATTGGATTAATCAAAAAAAGGTTCACTCAGATAAGGAAGGTGAACATTTTATCTGGGAACATTTAGATTCAAGATGTTCGAAGTGCTACTTCGTCAATCAGTAAATAATCCAAATTACTTTAAACAACTAGAAATACATCCATTCTAAATGTGGGAAATGTAATTATTCGAATAAATTCCAAAATCAATGGACACTTGAATAATTATATAATTTATATAATATTGTTCGTCGTTCTGATCAGAAGAATCATACATGCCAATAATATTGATCAAAGTGTAAAGTTAATTAAAACAAACATTATAAATACAGATATAACAGTGTACGATAAGTATCAAATTCAAATTTAAAATATCAGTAGATCAAATCAAGAGAGTAAGCTTGAAAGATAGCTTACCAATCTTGGACAACTTTGCGCAAGCTACGGGCAAAGATGATTTGTGTTTTGTATTTTCGCGAGATGATTTGCAATTGTGGAACAGAAAGAGTTTCCGAAACTTTAAATGAAATAGCTTCTGGTTGCTCTTCGAAGTAATTTCAAGGATAAAATAGGTACACAGTAACTGCAACGGAACTTGAACGAAAATTTATTTCGCTCCAAATGCAATTGAAACCATAAAGTGTGCAACAAATGAAGCGTATAAATTATGAATAGAACGAACACTTTTTGCGTGTATTTCGATATCTTCTGCAAACATCGTTACCGCAAATCAATCATTTACCTATATTTGCCGCTGTCACCGCGGCAGGAAAAGTGGAACTTATGTATGTACCGACGACAAACGTCGCGTGTAACTATTAAATATATATCATCATCGAATAAGACTCATCGACGCTTTATCTCGAGCGATGTTTTACATAATCAGCAAATATTTTGCTTCGTATTTCACGGTTCGGTGATTTCACAGAAAACCGGTTAATAAATAATTAATTAACAATCCTACCGATATTACAGGCACGTTTCAACTATTCCTCAATGAATTTTCATTCTACTGAAATTTTATTCATATTGTATCTCGTTACGTTCCATATAAATTTCGTAGAAATCGTATTACATCCCGTATGAATACGAATCAATTCCGTTCCATTTAAAAAATATTTACGCGATACAATAATACGAATTTCTGGTTCATCGGAAAATTAAGAACGCTTGTAATTTACACTTATCGAATCGTACTTTTCAAATTTACGTTTGACGAAATGATGAAAGTGCTGATCGAACTTGAAGCATAAACATAAATATATTGAAATCACGTTCTTAATGGGCACTCGACGTTACGTTATAAAAATGTTACTTTTAATTATTCATTCGCTCTTGGCGTAACGCATAATTCTGATGAAAGTATATTAATAAGAATTAATATAACTTTACAATTCTTAATGTAACGTATAATTCTGATAAAATAATCAAACTACACTTGAATCAACTACACTGTGCTGCTGAATCTGAATCAATCAACTTCCCCTTTTCATTTATTTCCCCGAGACAACGCACGAGTGAGTGTCACGGTGAGAGGCCAGGCATGGGAATCAGAATTTTCTTTTGTGCTATTGAGCCAAGTTCTAAAAATGAACGCCCTTGCCATCCATGCCAAGGAAGACAGCCTCGAAGTCGGAATCCTTCGAGCATCCGTTTAGATTATGCGTCTCGTGCAATCGCGTACCAGCTATAAATATATATGTCTTTATTGCACGAGAAATTTTTCTAGAGAAGAAACGTTTTCCACGGGATATTTCCTTCAAATATAATAACGTATGTACGTAGCTCGAGATATTATCAGACAAAAGTCGCCTGGCGATGCACACATCTTGGAATCGAGACGTTGCCGTCGAGAGAATTCTCACGTGACATTTTACGTCGAGTCGTTCTGCTCGCGTGACTTCTCGCCCTGGCTTTCTCCACGTGGAAACGCCGATCTCAGGGACGATTACGTTGGCAAACGCCAAGAGGCTGTTGCTTTTCCGTACACGTGGCGACAAAATCGAAATTTCGGTGATTCACGTTATTTAAGACGGGAGTTCAGACGCTTAATGAATAACGAGAAATCTACGATAATAATTTCAGTTTAAATTAATCTGACGAAAGACTATCACGAGATAAAAATATGTTTTACTGCTCCGTTGTGAAAACTCACGTGATGCGGGATTAATGTTTGAATTTTGTTACGTGGAATATAATATAATGCAGAGGGTGTTCAGGTTTGTTGTTTAAAATTGTGTCAGTGTGCAGATTCTTTCCGAGTAAAAATAACTTCGCGTAAACATAGGCTATGCGTAAATACTTTGTTGGAAATTTATGAGAAAAATACTGAAAAGCACGGAAATAAGAATATGAGTTGTCTGCTCGACGTGGTAATTGAATTAGTGAAGAATAGTAGAAAAAATATTATATATATTGAATTCATCAAATAGAAGTGCAAATAAATCAAGAAGTATTAACATTTTATTTTCTACCGTCTGATTTCACGTCTGATTCTTCATTTAAAAAAAAAGAGAAGGAAATAATCATATCTTTGTAGGAATATTTTAATCAAGCATTTACTTTTTTCTCGGTTTCATTCGTCAAATATGCAAGTATCGTTCTGCAGGGGAAACGGACACGCCGTATATGATTAATTTAATCCCGAATGTTCGAGAAAAATATTATGACATTGCAGAAATTGTACTCTGGATCCTTGTGAAATAATCAATATATTATAAAATACCACACATCAGAGAAAATACTAAACTTCTCTTTTTACGAGACGAAAATGTCGAGGAATTCCAAGCCAAGGACGTTATAAATCCAAAGATTAAAAAAACCACATGAACTACGATCTTCTGAAGCCTCGTAAAATTGTCAATAT